GAGGCCGCACAGGCTGACCGCAGCTCACCCCCGCGCCTGCCGCCACCTGCCATGCGGGTCCTCCGGCTCCCCGCTCCTCTTCGCCTCGCTGGAAACAGCCTCACCCTGCGGGGAGGCCCCGTCAGAGCCACCGTCCTGAGAACAGGCGCCCGCAGCAGCAGTGGTGCCGTGCTTTCCTCCCGAGCCCGCGGAACGCCGTCTGTCACTGTTCCCTCCACTCCCTGAACGACCGACTCCAGCCAAGAACTTTCCCTCTTATCCTTTCTGATGGCGTCGTATTCAAACCTCACGCTTTCCATAACCACCCCCCTTTAAAGGCTTGTCCGCAAAGGGAGCGGATAAAGTAGATCAGAAAATAAAGTGCCTTTCTGCCAGCAAGAGCGCGATCCTTTGTTATGACAGATTTCCCAGAGGAGACGGACGCTTGCAGCGGCAGCGGCAGCTCCGTTTGCTCCGTGGTCTTAACCTTCCCTGTCGCATCAGAGCAGCCTGGGAGGTTTCCAACAAAATATTTATTTCTGTGTGAAGACACTTGTTCCTCAAACCGAAACTGTGAGCAAAAAGAAAAAGGTAATCCTGAGAGTAACTTCAGGGTAACTGTGGTGAGCTCCACAAGCATGCAGTTCAGAAAGCCACGGTGCCTGGTCTGGAAGTAGATATTCCAGGTTGAGTGACCCCTCACCTAGCACTTTATCCCCACCTCCGCAGCCCCACAACACCCATCTTCTTCAGGGTGTCACACTGCTGTCCTCTCCAGACAGCCTGCACTGCTCCAAGGTGTGGCAGTGGTGACCGGCCACAATGAAGTACCGTGAAGGAGCTTATTTTCCCAAGAGCGGCCATCCAGGAGGCCATGACATGCAGCACTATTATAATTTCTTTGAATCACTTGTGGGGAAAAAAAAAAAAAAAAGATGCCATACACTTCCCAGAGTTTAGGACTGACCTTACTGGACATTTTGGGGGAATAAATTGTGTTACTCCAAAGCTGTCCTAATGCATTCATTCAGAATGTAAAGAATTGCTGTTCCACATGCCATTACGGGTCCAGATCAGGCTTAAACCTAGTTCTGTCCACGACCTACGTACCTTGAAGTGTGGTAAGTGTAGATAAGATACAGGTACTTTAGGAAGACAAGTTTGGTCATGTGTCGTGTGTCCCCCCCCCAAATAAAGTAATTTCTATTATATAGAGCTATATCCTGCCTAATTTAGATGAGAATTAGCAAATAGCAGTGAAACTTCTCTGTACGTCAGGAGAAATACACAGACTTTATAGCAATTAAAGAAAAAAAAAACCACCATGCTATTTTAATCATAGTAGAGAAAGGCACAGTTATTAAGCCATCCAAGTGAATTAGACCCTTTTAGAAAATATATTCATACATTTTCACACTTGGTAGGCAACAAGATTTATGTATGAAACCCCATTACATAATTCTCTGAAGTTATTCCTTTAAAAAAGGTTTATAACTTTATCTCTAAAAATATAGATATTTCACAAAATGCTACATAAAGATTCATAGTTTAAGAGCTTCAGTTAAACTCTACTCCAAAATAATCATCTCCTGAGAATAAAAAGCACAGCAGACTGCAGTTAAACCACAGTTAAGATTCACCATAGTATATGACTGCTTTACATTTTCATGTTCTTTATTCTGTTAATACACGTTAGGGCCACACCTCGTGTGGGAGGAAGCTGCTTTTGCAATCCTTTTGTAGTATTTACTGTTGATAGGCAACACTTCTGGCAGGGAGCGAAGATATGATTGTTTCATTGTGAAGACAGAACTTTTACACAGCCGTATGGCATTTTAGGATTTGGAATATCTGAATCTCTAGTCTAGTGTTATTGTGGCTAAGAATAATGACCAAAGCTTTTCTCTGAAGGATTAATTATTTGAATTTCCAGGTTGCTCTTATATGGGAGTCACTTCTCCAGTAAAGTAGGTGTCACCAGGAAAAAAAAAAAAAGGAAAGAAAAGAAGAAAGACAGGTTAAGCCCTTTCTTTCTCAAAAGTGGCTCAGCTCTGTACAGTAAAAGCATCAGCTAGCACACCTGACCTCCTATGCTAACACACTCCCTCATGCATGTTGGAGGAGTACAGAAAGTAACTTTAAAACAAAAAAAAAAGAGTATGGCAAATTGCCTGGTAGCAAACTACCCACAATTATCTGTATTACCCAACATCCTGTGAACATCTGCTTTAAAAGTATTCTCAAGTACTTTGTCCCCGGGGCCACGTAATTCTTTTTTGTAGCAATTATGCAGAACACACCAAGATACTCAGTTAGCTTCATACCAAACTTGTTTAACATCTCTCTATAGTTTAAAGAACGTTCTCCACACAGATGCTCATCCAGGTGCACCTTTGATAAAACTTCAAATATCAGTAAGAGTTCAGAAAAGTAACCAGCACTTTCTAAGCTCCCCTCTTGCCAGCCATGTGGGAAATGGGAAGTCTTCCTGACTCATTGCTATTTGGGCTCCAAGGGAAGCAGTATGCAACATGACTCAATTAAGACAGGTTTCTGTAGCTTCCCTCCCTTCAAATTTGCTTTTACAAAGACCATTTCCACTGGATTGCTCAACATACCATAAAAAGATAACCTCCCTTTGCATTACCAGTATTCAAAGGAAAAAAAAACCCAAGCCCAAAACCACTGCAGTAGTTTCTGATAGTGCTGACTTCCCAGATTTAAGTTAAATGAAAAATGACTGTTTATGTATACATTTTAATTTCAGCTCTATAAAAAAAAAATAGAGACAGTGATCAGATAGACAGCATATCTGAACTGCATATCTAAATTGACTTGGATTTGGTAATCCCTTGTTAGGCTTATTTTTCACTGACATACTCTACATTCATGTAGAAGTCTCTGAATATTGTTTTCAGTCTCTGATAAAGCCCATAATTCCATATCAGCAGAACCCTTAGGCAGGGCTTATCCTTCTATCTCCATTACTTTAACGTAAGCTAGGAAACTGTAAACTCCAATTTAAACCGAGTCAGTGAGAAAGCACTCAGAGAATCACACCACGCTTGTGGTTTTCAGAGGACCAACCACCTCCCTAGAGAGGAGGCAGAGGCAACGTTTACACCAGAGACATGGGCTGTCCTCATGGGCAACCCCACTACAGAGGCTCTTCCTGCTCCACCTAATGGCCCACTACAGTCCTGGGAGACCCTCACGTTGTGCCTGGCACCAGCCCCTCCGCAGGCTGTTACTGCTCAGGTGAACAAACCTTTACCGCGAACGGGGCTCTCTGCTTCTTTCTTGCAGATGGCTGTACCGCACCAGGTCTTACCAGGCACCGTAACTCCTTTATTTGGGAGGCTGAGAAGTTGTGGGCTGGCAAACGCAAACATTTCAAACACTGGTTTCGCACCGCACAGCTGTACCAGTGTTGGTCTTGCAAGCAACACGTTTCCTGTTTTATCTTTGTCATTAGAGGCTGCAAGTTCATTCAATGCAGACAAGCTGCTACACATACAAGGGGGGTAAAACCATACTACACCCATCAATCATTCACAATTCAAATCTTTGCTTTGCTTCATCTGCAATCATTTTTGCGATGGCAAGGGAGGAGGTAGCGGCAGGAGAAGGGGCATTTCTGACATGAAGAATTCTGCTTCCAATATCTCCACTGCCTCCATCGAATACAAAGTCATCTACCAAATTTCCGTCACTGTCCAATGCCTGAGCTCTCACTCCGGATGGACCCCTGCAAAATAAAGGAGGAGCTCACCATTAGAAAGAAAATGCTTTTCTGGTTTTGGAAAACGATTCTGTTCTGACCGTGTGAAGATGCCCAGGAAAACAGTAAGGCAGGCAGACTGTGGAGTCAAAGCACAGTCAGGCTTTTGGGAGAGCACAGGAAAGTTTAACACTTGTGAGGCAGAGCAGGAAATGTCTCGCAGTTGTTACCGTAAAACAAGAGCAGGTAGCCAAGCAGAGGATCTTCCGTATCTTTCCTGGTTGTGAAGTTACTCTCCTCCCCACACACACAAACATGCCCTGTCTTTTCAAAAAGGAAACCCTTTGTTTTCAAATAGCAAGCCTTGCCAAACATGAATTTCATGCCAATGGTATATTGCCTGAGCTGGATAACTCCTTTTTACCATGCTCGAGCTTCTGTTATTCTGGATTTTCTCCCTGCAAATGTTTGGACAGTTAAACCCACCTCCACATACTTAAATGCCTCATCTTTCCTCACAAGTCTCCTCAGTTCCTTAGCATTTCTAAACTCTTTTGAATTAGTTTCTTTCTCCACACAGTAAGAAGCTGAATACAATTTTATTGAGATGATTAACCTAAGTCAATATCCACTCAGTAGCAACTCACAGTCTGGCTTCCCCTCTGAATTTCATTAGTATTTTGCTTTCTTTGTGAACTCAGATTATGTTCAGGCTACTGAATGTGTCATTAGGATAAAGAGACTTTTTCTTTTGAGTGAATATGTCACAACTGTGAATTTCAGCCTATGGAGAGTGTAGAAAGTCACACAAATATTTCTGAAACTTGCCTATACACAAGCAAACATAATATAAAAGGCCCTCCTGTAGAAAGTATCTAAATGCTTCCACGCTTTGGTAGCATATTTTGGTGGAGGAAGGAAGCAAGCTAATGCTAAATAAGAGATTTAACAAGCTATTGGGTGTTACTAATAAGAAAAGTTTTCTTTACCGGAGTACATCATTGATGGTGACCTCAGGGATGAACTTCTGAAGTTGCTTCACCTGTGCGCTAAGGAAACAAGCTCTGTACATTTCACTCAGGCCGTAAGACAAGTTTCTCAGCACAAGCTTCCATAACCCACTGTAGAGAGAAAAAAATAACTGCATTAAGAACAAATCTTCCATAATAAATGCAGTCATGTCAAACTAACACCGTCTAAGAAGGTAGCAAATGCAACTGCATGGCAAAGTTCCATTCCCAACATCAGTAATCCAATCATGCTTTCTACTTGAGAAATATATGTTTGTCCTTCCCTGCTTCAACAAACCTTGTTTACCAAGCTGCAGCATTTACATTCTTTCTCTGAGAATTAACTCTGAACTCTAGTCCTTCCTACATCCAGGATTCTTCTCTGGTCCAGCCAAATAGCAAGAGACTACAAACCCACATGCATGAGGAAAGACAGACATGCCACTTGAGACTTTTTGCCACAATCATTCTGAAAAGATTGTCACACTTCTAAAACCCCTCAGCTTTCAGTCAATGAATCTTCCTATGTCTTTGCAAATCTTGTTTGCTTGCTTTGCTTTCCTCAAGTCTTTCAGTATAAAAATCTATAGACAATGATCAAGATGCTTTCAACTCTTTGCTTTAATAAACTGCATTAAATTGAGCTGTTAGCCAGAACGCTGTTTTCCAGTTCCCTGACCTGTTTTTCAGACTCTTCTTGGATCCTCCCCAATATTTTCACATTCTCTTTCAAGTCCAATTTCTAAAATCGAGCACTTGTTAATGGTCTGTCCAGCCCCTCATAAAGAAGCAAGATTTGTCGTAACTTCTATGGATATTCTATTCATTTATGTTTGCAATTTTAGCAATGATTTCTACTTCCTATGACATGCTTTCTAAGACAGCTTCCCAGCCTGCATTCATGGCCCTTAACATAATTCCTTGCATTTGGACATTTTTTGAATGTATATTGATGGTCTGATAACGTTTAACACAGCAATTCAGACCACTCTGTGTTCCTTCTTCCAAGCATCCTCTGCAGGTATTTTAATGAGATTGTCTAGGGTGATTAAAATACTACGCTGCATTGGACCAAAACCAATCCTGGAAGAGCTCCACTAGTAGCAACATGGCTCACCGGTACCTTCCGATGAGCAGCTACATTCTCGGACCAGCTAAGACATGTCTTGGTAGTTTATAAAAATTCAAATATTAGATCACATGAAGTCAAGTGTCTTGGAGAAGTCCACCCTTATCAGCACAACTGTCTTTAAGCACACCAAAAACTTGGCAAAAGCAGGCTTTTTGACAAGAACTAGCTTCCATGGAGTCACAAGCTGACATTTAAATAATTGCGTTCAGCGGACAAAAAGACAAGATATTACCTGTACATTACAGCATCTAAGAAGTCTCCAGTGCTGAAGTCAAACAATTTGTAGCCCTCTCGCTTAAAGGCCAGTACTGCATTAGGACCAAGCCAGACACTGCCATCCATTCTTGGTGTGAAATGAAATCCCAGAAAAGGGAAATGAGGATTGGGAACCTAAAGTGGGATACAACAGTTACTACAGCTGTTACAAACCAGATCAGAGAAACAGCCATATAACCACTCAAGTCAACAAACTCATCCAGGAAATATGGAAAACATTTGTGAGGAGAAAGTACAGACGTTTATGGTTTACTGTGTGAGAGAGTGAATAAAATAAACCAAAACACAGTAAAGCAGTTTTTCTCCCAAAAAATGGAAAGAACTTTTTGAACAAACAAGTGAAAAAGGAAGTAAATTTGCCTTTCTATTTCCAATCACTACAAAAAAATTCAAGTCATATAACGACACAATTGGCTGCTGCGCTGGTTCTTCTGCTTATTAATTGTGCAGTAATAGCACGTAACTAATTTAAAACACTGAAGAACAGAGCAGGGCCAAATAAGACTGCTTCTTCAGTAAAAGCAAAACAAGCAACAGAAGAAAAAGTACACATCATTTCTCAGGATATAAATCAACCCACAACAAAACCAATGACACACCAATGTTATTTACCAGTAGTAATTATACTGCAATAAAATAGGTTATAAAATATTAGGAAAAACCCCACCATTCCTGTATTGCTCAAAACAACATGCAGCTAGCAAGCCTGATTAATGCTAATAATAAATATCTGCTGTTTCTTTTTCATTTGTAAATGGAATACAGTGTAATTATGTGCAAAGGCTGAACCAGAAAGAAGCTGTCTGTATGCTGATATAAATATTAAATAAGCACACCTCTTCATGAGCTGGCACTTCAAGATCTTTAGCTATTTAGAAAAGGTGACTACAGTGGTGACTGTGTTATAGTCTGAAAATAAGCAAGTATTGGGTATTTCTCAAAAAACAGTATTGTTATGACTAAAAATTGCTTCAAGATATGTTCCTTTTCTGTATTCAGTGCAATGTTTTTCCTATTAAAAATCTACTTTTAATACTTTCAAAGTTTAGTGCAACCACTCCACAAACTAGATTACATTTCTGGTAACGTAACACTAAGAGTCATGCAATTTTCTAATCTTATTACCATATTTGGCCATAACAAGAAATTTCAAAGGGTACAAGCTATCCTCACATAGCCACGAAACAAGGCTGGAAGGTACCCTCACATCCTCCCTCCCATCCCAGGACAGGATCCTGAATCATTCCCAGGTGAGAAGAGGTCAAACACTCAGTGCCCAGGGTTCCACAGTTTCCCTCAGGTGACCTGCTCCAGCGTTTAGCAGGCAAATCTAAGTTCATATTCAGAAAGGCGGTATTTCAAGATACTGCATTAATTAACTAAAATGCTGCCCTAGGAATTCTTTCTTGCTTGTTATCTTCACTTTCTGTCTGGAATTGCTCCTCCTCATCACATTATTTGTCCATATTATATGGTAGAAAGCTTGTCTTTTTCCTTCCATGTCTACTTTTTGTCAAACAAAGTAAAGCTAATTCAAAGATGAGGTCGAGAGGCAAATATCTAAATCCGAGCTTTGGGTATTAGCACACAAGATTAAACCCTGTGTCTAAGTAATTCATTATTTGCTGTTGTCCCTCACTGACTTCTGAATACTGCCTACACATTTATGTTATAACATAATGAAAGAAGCCAGGCTTTTGTGGGCATGTGGCTAATCAGGCTAAATGTTTC